GAAGCTCTCGTGTTCTTGAAAAACTACTGACATACTTTTAAAGTATATGAATTTCAATATAGTAGAGCATGGTGGTTAAACCTGAGCCCTTGGAATCAGACAGTGTTTGAAGCCTGACTCTGCCACCCACTAGCTGTGTGACCTTGGATAAATCATTTAACCTCTCTGAGCTCTGACATCCAAATTTATAAAATGGGGCTAGTAGTATCGCTCTGTAAGGAGGCTGTGGATGAAGTGAAGTGGCGTGTGTGACATGTCTATGAAAGTGGCTAGCACATAGTCAATGCTCAATGGTCACTGTTACTACCATTCTATGAAAAGTGTAGGAGATGCTCTTAATCAATGGGCAACTGCAAAAGGATCGTGCAAATGCATCAGAATTGTACTGGGAACGTTAGGGGCACCTGGGTGGCTCAGTCAGTTAAGCATCTGGACTTTGGGTTGGGTCATGATCTCGTGCTTCGTGAATTTGAGCCCCACAGCAGGCTCACTGCTGTCAGACTGTCCATGCAGACCCCGCTTCAGATCCTCTGTTCCCCTTCTCCCTGCCCCTTTCCCACTTGTGCTCTCCCAAAAGACATAAATATTAAAATAATAATTGTACTGGGAAGGCTAATTACAGGTTGATCTGACACTTGGGAAGCCTTTGAGGAACAAGGGTTCTCAGGGTAAAATCAGCAAGAAGGAATGTAGACGTCAGGCCTGGAACAGCGAAGGTGTTGGTGGCTGACAGAGGAAAGGGCAGGATAGGGGCTCTCACAGTCACTGTGGCCTTTCCCCGAGGGACCGATGAACACAGATGGAACTGAAGGCCGGTCAAGGTCATTCCTCACTTCCTCCAATGAGTTCCCCTGGCCGTTATGGGCAGGGGCACGGACAGGACTTGCAAACATGATGGGCAGCCCCTTTGAAGAATTACCAGGAAAAGCAGAGCGGCCGGGAGTTTGTGAAAGAGTCACTGTGGCTTTGATTTTCAAAAATGGGGAAGAGGATAGGTTTAGAAAATACAGAGGTGCACTTAGTGCCCATATCTGGCAATGTTCTACAAGTGATGGCTACACGGAGGTGATTATTGCAGGCGCCCAGCCCTGCCCCCCATGCTGTTCTCAGTGTAGCAACCGGTAGACAGCCCCTCAAGTTCAACCATGCTACGTCCTCCCAGGAGGCTCCTCCTTTAACTGGAGGAAAAGCCCAAGACTTTCCAGCGGCCCACAAGGCCCAACACAACCCTCACCCAACCCCCCCAACCGTCACTGTTGCCCTTCCCTTTCCTCTCTTGCTGTGGCCACACTGACCTCCTTGCTCTTGGCCTTCACCTTTGCCATTTTCTCTCCCTGGATCTCTCTTCCCCCAGATAACTGTTTGGTTCTCTCCCTGCAAATCTTTGCTCAAATGTCAACTTTTCAATGAGGCCTTCCCTCAGCACCCCCCGTCAGGCTCCACACATCCACTCCTCCTCTTCCCTGACTTGTTTTTTCTCCATAGTACTCATTACCATCCTATAAGACTACATATTCTTACCTTGTGTCCTGCATCAACTCTCCCTTCTCACTAGAATAGCCAGGTCCACGGGCTCAGAGATCTGTATCTGCGTCCTCATTTCCTACAGCTGTGCAGGCCACATAGTCCTGTTCCTTAACTATTTGTTGATTGGGAGGGAGAGTGGGAGGGGAAGGAAGGAAGAGGTCGCCATTAGAAAGAGGCTGCCGAACTAGGGTGACCAACCATCCCAATTTGTCCAGGACTGGGAGAGTTCCTGAAACAAAGGATTTTCAATGCTGAGACCAGTAAAATTCTGGTTGGTCACCTACACGGGCTTAGCCAACCGCATTTACTTCTCAGATGCCAGGACTGGCCTGAGAGCTCCCAGGAATGCCTCCAGCTCACTATCTCTGCATTTCACAGCCTCCCACAAAGTCCATCTGTGGGAGAATGCAGAAATGTGGGCTGTAAGATAGTGTGCTTAAGCAGTCCACTGTTGGCTGAGTGGCCATGCCAGACACATTGATTGATAGAACCCGTCAAGATGGGAAGGCTGCCGTGGTGAGCCACAGAGCCGTGTCCTGGCTCCGTGGACAAGCATGTGGAAGGCAGGGGGAGGATCTCTTAGTGGCCTGCGCTAGGGAGGGAAAGCTAATATGCTCAACAGTAGGGCTGGGTTTTGAAATAATCTCAATAGATGGAAATGACAGGCCCTATGTAACACCTTAAAATTAAAAGGGAAATAAATATTGCTTTCTATTTAGAGTTTAAAAAAAAAAAAAGCAATCTCAAATGTATAGAGGAGACCAGGCTTAATAGCTGTTTTGTTGGTTTTTGACCCAGCATGTTCAGTTGCGCACAGGCTCGATCTGGTGTAGAAGCTGGACCGGCCAGATAGGCTAAGTAGACTTGCGGGGCACGGTTGCGCTGTCCTCCTGCTGGGCAGAACACACCCGAGCAGATGTGTTCTCTGTGTCTGGGGACAGGCTGCTCACTCTCATCTGCTCGGTTTCTAGCTATTCTAGAACACAGCAACCTGCAAAGCGCCTCTTCCTCCCCTTCCCCAACTGGCTACCGATGTCTCGCCAGCCGCATCTCTGTGACAGTAAAGAGGTCACTCACTCCATCCTCTTCCACCTTACCCAGTTTCTCTGGGACAGCCAACATATTTAGAACTGGGATTCAGAGGAGAGACAGGTTAAATCACTGTTTCTTCCCCTTAAGAAGGAGGGATTCATTGTCAAGGGCACAAGCAGTATAAGCCCCATGGCAACAGGGAGGCAGCATTGCAGTGAGAGCCTAGAAGCCTGAAGACCGGGAGCCTGACCCATGTCCCCTTTCCTGGGAGCTCACAGCTCATACCATTCCTGCAGGGTTCCTGTCTGTAACTGCAGAGTCTGTGAGAGAGGAGGGTGGCAAAGAGGCCTCCCACCTCCCAGCCTTTCCATCCTCCAAACTCAGGTACATTTACTGGTATTTTGAGCCAGCGGGTTCGAAGGCCCTGGGCCCCTAGCTGTGCGGGTGGCCACTCTCTGAGTTGCTATGACCAGGCCGGGGGCTCCTAAGAATGCTCTAGGGGTGGCAGTGGAGGTAGTGACGGAAGGGAGCTGCAGGGCTCCCCAGGCTTCACGGGGCTCTGGGGGCTTATTCAAGGGAACAGCACCTTGATTCTCTTGATTCTCTTTCTCTATCAAGAAAGGCAGTAAGTGCCTGTTGTCCTGGAGGGAAAGATGTTGATTTCCAACTCCCGTTTTCCAGGCTCCGCACAGGCCCCACCCCGTGTCTTCCCCCGCAGAGCTCTGGATCAGAGCACAGATGCAACCTCACCGTGGAGGACACACGAGATCCCACAGGCCATTTCCGGTCAGTGGGTGGGGCTGCCTGGAGTAGCCGAGGTGACCCCAAAGCTCATCAGGAACGGACACTGTTTGAGGTGTTGGGGATGTCGGCAATGGTAGCCCAGTGGGGAAGGGGAGCCAGTGTGTCACACTCTGCTCTCCCAGCCCCCTCCCCTAAAGAGCACAGAACTGGCCCATGGGAAAAAACATGCACAAAGAGGGCCTGCTGACCTTCGGGCAGAGGGTGTTCATTTCATAATGGGGGCCAAGCAGCATACCAGCAGAGGGGAGGGGGCCAGAGAGACCATCCTCCCGCCTCTTTTCTGACCCTCCTGGGACCAGAACCCTTATTGCTCCCCATAACCACGCTGGGGCCTGCAGTGGAGGGAGAGAAATATTCTAGCCCCACGGGCTGGACTCCGTTGTTCTCAAAGTGTCCCTAGCCCAGCAGCTGCGTCACCTGAACACGTACTCAAAATGCCAGTTCCCAGGCACTCCCAGGTTCTGATCAGAAACCGGCGGTGGGCCCAGATATCTGTGTTTAGCAAGCCCTGGGGTGGTCCTGATCCAGGCTGACGACGTGGGAGACCCCTGCCCGGCCGGCAGAAAGAAGACCTCTAGACTGGCAGTTACTGAAGGACTTCCAAGAACCCTGCTTCCTTTGCGCTCGCTCAGGGAGGAGGGCTGCCTTCTGGCTCGGGGTGAGTGTCCTCCCTCTAGGTTCCCAGGGGCCTGGTGCTCCGGCTCCTGGTCTGGCTTGCACCTGCGTGTACATTTGCGATCTCCATGGCGGCTTGGAGCCAACCTGCAACAGGTCTGCCCTCTGCGTCTGTAGCACAGGGGTGCTTGGGTTCTTGTGCTGCTGCTCCAGGCTCAGGGAACCCAGGGCTGTCTCAGCCCATTTCAAAAACAAAAGCTGTGGCCCAGTGGCCTCTGCTCTGGAGCGCCCCTGTTGACAGCCCCCGCCCCTGGGCTCTGTTGTCTTTCCGACAGATGCCCCTCTTTGCATGTGGTCCTAAGAAGTCCGTCTGCCTACAAAAAACAAAAAACAACCCTGCAAACCAAACCAGGCTCATTGCAAATGATACCGAAATGGACCGGAAAGATCAATGCAGCAATTTCGTTCTCCCACAGCCTCCCCCCGCCACCAAATCCTCTATCACCCCGCTCCCCCTTCTACCCCAGTGAGCCAAAGTTCTTTCTTGCTGTCTTGATGATTTGCAATTCTCTGCATGACTCTGCCTCTTGGGTTTGTTTAATTAGAAATAGGCCGGGTAGTGCTTCCTATGCACTGGCATGTTAATTGCTTATCAGGGAAAGAGAAGGGGTGACAATATTTGGTGATGGAAATTTCCACTCTCCATGGCTCTCTGTGCTTTTCTCCATTTTTTCTCTCCCACCCTCTCCTTGCCTCCTGTGATTGCTCCGTCTCCTGTCCACCTCTTCCCCCCCCAGCTCTCCTGTTCTCAGTTACGGGGACTCTGGGGAGCAGGTCTGCAATTCAGACCTACAGGGATCACTGTGCCCTCTGTCACCATCTCCCTCTCCCCTCCTGTCCCTTCGCAGCCCCTCCCTCCAACCATGCCCCCAGCTGTGAAGAGAGTGGAGAGCAGAGAGCTTTTTTGGTTACACCTAGTATTCAAAGATTATTCTCCCTTTGTTTCCTTTCCCTCCTTATGATTGTTATTCTTGTTTATTTTTATTTTTTACAAAACAGGAGAAAAGAGTGAACTGGGTTGTGGGGAAGGTGACACATTTCTCCACAAAGGTACAAAATTGCCTATAGAAAGTCAATCTCGGAGTGCCACACCGGCTGCCAAGATGAGGCGATCCCCGATACCCGGCAACCTTCTCCCCAAATGTCTTTCAGATGCTTTCAGATGCGACTGGGACCTCGTTCGGGAGTGGTCCCCCATGGTGGGGACGAGAGGCCTCCCTCAGCCCTTGCCCAGGAGGGGGAAGAGCAAGCAACTTAGACTGTGCAAAGAAAGAGAAGTGGAGGGGGCGCATCCTGTGGGCCAAGGGCCTGGGGACACAGGCAGGGGACATCCAAGCAGAAGCCCAGGAGCCTCCGGGCACACGGACAATTGGGGGGCGGGGGGATGGGAGGCTCTCGCCAGAGTCCTTCCTGTTCCTTGGAGATGATCCTCAGAATGTCGGTGGACAGGCTCCCGGAAGGTAAGGGCGACTTTCTGGAGGCAGTGGGAGCACCCCTTGGAACTACAAAGCCCCCTCTGTCTTGGTCCAGCTGCCAGACCTCCAGCACGTGGGTCCATGTCACCTTCCTGGCAGGGCATCGGGCCCAGATCGCTTCCCTTTTGGTAAAAAGTAGTCCTAGTCATTTGTCTACTGCTGAGAGCAGGCCGAGCTTCAGGAATTCTGTAGTGATAGTGGTGATGCTGTTTCCCCTTCCGAAGACCTGGACAGCTTCCTTCCTGGATTCCAGGGCAAGACAAGGGGCGCGGACACCACTCGGATGGAGGGGGTGCTCCAGCCCCAGAAAGCCCAGGCCGGAAGGAGAGGCCGCCTGCCCACCCCCTGCCTGGGCTGACCACCGCCAAGGTGGGCAGCTAGCCCGGCCGCCAGCAGGAAGACAGCCAGAGCCAGGATGGCTATGAGCCCAGGTCGGTCCCCTAAGGCTCTATGGCAAGGAGCGGCCTCTTTAGTCCTGGTCCATACACATGCCAGCTGGGTGTGGGCATCAGCAAAGGCCACTTGCAGGCAGGCCCAGTACTCCGTGGCCTGAAGGAGGCGAGTGATGTTGTAGCTATGGGTTCCCCTCGGCAGACGGGCCAGAGCAGGGGCCCCCTGGCCGCGGGGAGAGGAGGCGCTGGACCAGGTGAGGTTGGTAGAGACTGTGTTGGGTGGGGGCACCCAAGACAGCAGGATGTGATAAGGGTGGGTCTCCTGCACCCGGAGCTCCAGCCCCCATCCCTTGTCCCGGCCCAGCTGCAGGGGAGGGCGGCCGACAACCACACTAACCGTCTTACTGTCGGCCCCCACCAGGTTCTGGGCCACACAGGTGTACAGCCCTGCCTCTTCTGCCGTCACCCTCCGCAGCTCCAGGGTCCCCTCGGGGTACACTCGGTACTTCCTGCCCGCACGGGCAGCCGTCAGTCGAAGCCCAGCTGGGGTGACCCAGTAGATCTCAGGTTCTGGTTCAGCCAGTGCCCGGCAGTGCAGCACCAGGCTCTCTCCACTGGCCACCTGGAGGCTGGGGGGGAAGCTGCGGGGGGAGATGAGGGGCAGGCAGCGGTCTGTCATCTCCCGGAAGGGCACCTCGCGGACCGGGCGGCGCTGGAGGTCTGGCGGCTCGGCGCACAGGGTGGACTGTGGCTCGATGAAGCGGATGCGGGTTCCCGTGGCATTGGCCCAGCGGATGACGCAATCACAGCGGATAGGGTTGCCGTGGAGACCTACCTCCTGCAGGTTGGGCAGGGACTCCACCGTCTGCTGGTGCAAGGCACTGAGAGCATTGTTGTTGAGCATGAGGGTCTCCATCTGGGGCAGGTGATGGAAGGCGCGGGGGTGGATGAAGGACAGCCGGGGGTTGTTGGTGATGTCCAGCTTGGTCAGCTCGGGGAGGTTGACCAGGGCGAACTTGTCAATGGAAACCAGCTCCTCCATGTTGTTGAGACCCAGCTCTTTGAGGTGCAGCATGTTGGCAAAGTCGCCGGGCCCCACCCGCTGGAGCGGGTTCTTGTTCAGGTCTAGGAACTTGAGCCCGGGCACCTGCTCCAAGGCCCGCCGGGGCACCTGAGCCAGCTGGTTGTCATAGAAAGAGAGGCTCTCCAGGCTCTGCAGCCCCTCCAGGGCGTAGTCGGAAATCTCCCGAAGGTTCATGCCCGCTAGCACCAGGCTGCGCAGATTGGCCAGGGGCCGGAAGTTCATGTCCAGGATGGCATCTACCTTGTTGCCACCAATCATGAGGATCTCCAGGTTGGGCAGCATCTCGAACCAGCGGCTGTCAATGGCCCTCAGCAGGTTGGAGTTCAGGTGCAGCCTCAGCAGGTTGCCGAGGCCGGCGAAGGCCCTGGGGGCGATGCGGTAGAGCTGGTTGTGGTTGAGATAGAGCTCCTGCAGGCTGGCCAGCCCTGCAAAGCTGTGGTCCTCCAGCCGGCTCAGCCGGTTCTCCTCCAGGTGCAGGCTCAGCAGCTGGGGCAGGGCGCGGAAGTCGCAGTCTCGAGCGTCCGCAAAGCTGTTTTGGGACAGGTCCAGCTCTGTGAGATTGGCCAGGTAGCTGAGCTCACTCTGGTCCACGCGGACGATGCTGTTGCTCTGCAGTAGCAAGGTCTGCGTGCCCGCGGGCAGCCCGGGGGGCACTGCCGTCAGGAACAGGTCATTGCAGTCCACGGTAGTGGCCTCACGGTAGGATGATCGGGGTGTATACCAGGGCCGGATCTGGCAGGCGCACTGAGGGGGGCAGGGCACGCGCCAGGGTACCACGGGCACAGCGGCGGTGGCACCGGCCACCCACGCCAGCAGAAGAGGGGCCGCGAGGAGCCTCATGGTGAAGCCGCAGGGCAGGGAACCATCCACAGGAGGGGTCTGGGGTCCTTCTACTCTTAACGGTTCGCAGGCTGAGGGTCAGCAGCCCTGCCAGGGCCCGGGGACCTGCCCTCCCAGGATGGCCATTCTACGTGGGGATGGGTGGGCGTCGCTTCTTGCCCTCCTGGGCACGGCTCTCCATCCTTGTCCGCTGGGGCTGGGCCTGCTCATTCATTGCCATGCCCCATCAGGGCAGCCCTGGAAGAAGAGGATGCACAGTCAGGGGGAGGCAGAGAGGCAGAATCTATTCCCTCCTCCTCGTCACTGCTGTTTGATTCCAGAGGGCAATGGAACGGAGAGAGGGGACAGCCAGGGCTCCCGGGTTCTGTCCCACAGCCCTGAGGCTTGGGTGTCCTTTCTACCATCTGCTGGGGGAGTGAGCAATGGTGAGCCTTCATGGAAGTGGGGAGAGACTGAATTGGGAAGCTTCCGGGAGAACTCGGGAAGGGGTGTGTGCGTGTGCATGTGTGTGTGTGGCGGTGGAAACAGTACAGATTTGAAATTCCAGGGTGGGCCCTCAGGACTCTGGAAGTAGAAAGGCAATGGTCCCTGACCCCACACCCAGACAGGCTGGGGAAGTGGGTGCTCCTGCCTGGGGTCTGCATAGGCTCTCCGTGTGCACGGCTTTGGTTTTTGCCAACTTCCCCACCCAGAGGCAGAACCTTCCAACAGCCTGACTGAGCTCCCTGGAAGAAGGTGGTGGGGTTAAGAATTCTGGATCTGAGCTTCTCAGCCCTGCATGTAAGACCTTACATGACCTGTCCCTGGCCGATCTCCTGGCTTTTCGTGCTGTTCTCCCACACAACTGACTAAGTACAGTGATACTTCTGAGTTGACGTTACCCTGACGTGCCCCCCTTCTGGTGTCTCCCCCTCTGGTCTCCTAGGCTTGCTCTTCAAGCCTCTACTTAAGGTCAGTCACCTTCTACAGAAGCTTCTCCCCCACCACCCCAACTCCTGGCTGGCTAAGGGCCCACCTTATGCTCTCATAGTGTCCCGTGCTCCCTTCTGTCCTAGCCCAGACCACATCACATGGAAATGTCTCCCCAGCTGGGGACCTGTCTTGGCCATCGCTGGGCTTGGAGCACACAACAGGTGCCCAGTGAGTGTGTACTGTGTGACTCAATCTCTGTGGCCCCAGGGCCCCTTCCCCCCTCAGGAGGTCGCCCACACCCCCAGTCTAGAATCTAAGCCACTGTTTCCCGCTTCCTAGTTATGGGTAATCCAGGTTCCCACAGACCCCAGGGCCAGGCTGAATCACCCTTAAAGCAAATCCAGCCTCGGCTTACAACCAACATGGGGTAAAAACCCTTCCTGGGCCCGGTCCCCTCCAGAGCAGAAGTCCAACTTGGGTAGTTTTCCAACTGCAGGTATCAGGTAAACACACCAACACTTACTAATCACTGAGATTTTCCAGGACTCCACAGACTCTGAATATCTTATTTCATTTAATCGTCAAAACAAGCCAACAAGATAAGCATTAATATAATACCCCCAGTTTGCACATGAAAAAAATTGAGGTTTTGAGAGGTAAAGAATTTTGCTCAAGACTTGGAGGTAGCAGGTGGCAGGGGACAGGAATCCACCCAAGTTCAGAGGTTGTGCTATTTACACCACATCTCGTTGTTCCCGTGTCCCACCTGAGCCCACCCTGGGCTGCACTGGCTGCCGTGGCCAGTGGGGGTGCCCATTCTTGTGCACCGGGGCCGTGTCTTCTACCACCTTCTGGGCAGGTGCCGCTCAGCTGGCCAGAGGGGCTCTTTGCCCACCTTGCCCCTGCTTCCAGGATGCTGGGGAGGGGAGTGGCTAGAGGTGCGGTCCCCTCCCTTGAGCAGGAAAGCGGTATGCCTGTTTACATTTGACTACTTCCCACCTTCCTCTGCAGCTATTTCTGAAGGTGGGAAAACAACCGTGACTTAAAATGCACAGAGGTTTTGCGTGGGGGTGTGTGTGCACTGACACGTAAAACTCCGAGCAAACAAACACACGTGCACACATGCGCGTATGCCCACATACATGTGCAGCAGGGAGCCCAGGGGACTTGGCCGCCCAAGCTAGTGCCTGGCGGGCAGGAAGGGGGCAGGGGATTCCACAGTGCACTGTGTGGTTGGAGAGGCGGCAGAAATGAGCTGAGTCCCAGGACGGCCTCATCACGGAACTGGACCTAGGCCAGTGGTCCTGCCACACACATACATCCCAGAGGCCCCTGCCTCCTGCCTCGACCTGGCCCAAGAGAGCAGAACCCACCAGCGAAGAGCTCTTACTCGGACTTCCTGCCTCCTCCCAGAGCATGCTGGGAAAAGGGATTGACTGCTCAGAGCGTCTGTTCCTTTCGTCTAAAATGAGGTTGCTGTTAGGATAAAGGGAGCGGAGGGGCGCCTGGGTGGCTCAGTCGATTAAGTGGCCGACTTCAGCTCAGGTCATGATCTCACGGTTCGTGGGTTCGAGCCCCGCGTCGGGCTCAGTGCTGACAGCTAGCTCGGAGCCTGGAGCCTGTTTCAGATTCTGTGTCTCCCTCTCTCTCTGACCCTCCCCTGCTCACACTGTCTCTCTCTCTCAAAAATAAAGATTAAAAAAAAAAAAAGGATAAAGGGAGCGGAGTGGGGCACACCCAGAAAAAGCTCAATAAATGTTAGCTGTCTTCCGGCTCCGGTCACCCCCTCCCCAGGGTTGGGAGGCTCTCCGAGCCGTAGGACTTCTCAGGGGGAACAGAAATTGGACCCCGTTTCTCAACAAGCCCCTACTGAGCTTGCCCACTGTGGCCCGGTGTTGCCTCCGGGTGGCATGGGGAGCAATGAGCAACAATAGACAAAACGTCGCAACCTTGAACTCCTCCACTCTGGCAGGGCTAAAAAGGACAGAATGGTCAGAAGGGCCCAGGGCAGTTCCAAAGGGCAGAGAAGCCTGCGGCCAGTGGAGAGGAGTCCACCACCCGCCCAGCCCCCTCCCTGCCTTCAGACGCTCTCTGAGACGCAGGTGTTTCTCCTCCAAAACCTTTGTTCTAACACCTTTGTTCTACAGATGCTCAGCTGCATGGAGGGGAGGAGGGAACCACTTACAACTGAATTAGAAACCCTCCCAGTCTCACCTTTCCCTCCACCCCGGGCAGCACCCCCTCTGGCTGGGTGGGTGAGGCAGAGCCCCCACTCCCCAGCCAGGAGCCCAGGGCTGGGGCCCGGCGTGCAGAGAGAGGCAGCAGCTTGATGACTTACATTCGGTCGCACCTCCGATCCCCAGGCCTGGCAAAGGTCCAGGCGAGTCCTCCCCCTCGCGGCTGAGCACGCAGGCCCCCCAGGGAGGAAGGCAGAGCTGCCCACTGACCCGCCACCGCAGTCTCGGGCTGTCTTGCACACACCCACCCATGCGGGCTGATTAGCAATTTCTGCCGGGAGCTGCAGAGAAATCGAATTGTCTTTTATCTGTGATCTCCGAGGTGAGCGGGAGTTCACACGACTGCGTGGACATCTTCTCCAACTGGATTTCAAGCGCCTTGTGGCAGGGGCCGTGCCTTACACGCTTGTGGTGCCTCCACAGCACCGAGTGCAGGGCTGAGCACGCGGAGGGCACTCGTAAGTGGATGTGAACTCTCCCATCGAGCTCGTGTGCAGGCAGAGGAGACATTACATAGTCTCATCTGAAAGGGCAGCGACCAAGGACCCCGGAGATCACATGACTTGTCAGAGGTTGCACAAACTTCCATGTGGATTCAAACCTAGGTCTCGGACTCTATAACCTGAGCCAGCGGCCGAGCTTGCTGCCTGGTGGTTCCAGGCCTGCCTTTCGGGAGCAGAGCACAGGGCTGGCCCCGCATGCCTGCCTCAGGCACAAATCCCTTCAGAGACGACCTGGGTCCTTAGCTCTTCCTCCCCTATGGTCACCTGATGGGCCCCGCAGACACCATTCCTTGATTCTGGGCTAGAGCGACCCCCCCCCAACCTGGGGGACAGCAGAGGGAGGATGTTGCTCGTGGCTGGGCCTGGCACCACAGGACAAATGGAGCCAGCAGGCTGCACGTGGACCTTCGCCTGCCTTCTGATAGGGGGCTGGGGGCTGCGATCAGCCTTGGCCTTCAGTGACAGGAGACTGGGCGCTCTGGGGAGCAGTCAGGGGAGCAGGGCCAGCCACGCCAGGGGCGGATTTAGCACAAAGCGTGGAATGGGTCCTTTACATTCCCCTGTTAAACACGGACCCCTGGCAAAGCTCCTAATGAAGAGTCTGGGAGAAGCTGTGTCTAGGGCTGCTCCGTCCCCCTTCCGTCCTCCACCAGGATTTCCCCAGGAGGTCGGTGGAGGTGGAGTGTCTCCCTGCCCTCCTCTCTCTCCCCTTCCCTTCCGTGCAGCCCTCACTTGGCCTCCAGAGCATCGGCCAAGGGTCCGGAAGGAGCAGCGGCGGTGGTGATCGATGGCCTGGCCTTCGCTGCTTCAGTGCTGGATCCCCCTGAGTTGCAGAGACAGATGGGCAGCATAATTGAGTGTAGCGTTGATAAACTCCGGCCTCCTCACTGGCAGATAAGCGCCGGACGGGAGGGGTGCCGAGGGAGGGAGGCCAGCCCTCCATCTGCGCACCTGGCCTTCTGCTTCTCTGGGGAGGTGAGCGGGGGCCCCTCACTCTCACCTCTCATTTAATCACAGACAAGCAGGACCTCAGAGCCGGAGGAGACCTCCGCTTTATCTAGTCTTGCAGAGTCTGAATTCCATAAATAACTTATGCAAAGGAGGAGCGCTGGAGCAGAAGGAGCCCAGGCTATGCTACGCGATCAGAGTTGGAGCCTGGCTCTGTCGCTGGCTGTGTGACCTTGGGCCAGGCAGGCAGCCTTCTGAGCCTCAAGTGCCTGCGCTGGGAAGTGGAGGTAACAGCCTCCTCCCAGAACTTCAGGGAGGAGCGCGGGAGTTCAGGTGCATGAGGCGCTGCGTTCCCTTCATTCAGCCCCCCTCACCCCTGCCTCTGCTTCCATCTTACCACCCACTTCTCATCTCTCACGTCTTGTGATAAAAAAAAAATATATTTTGAAGTGTGACATGTGTACAGTGCCTAAATGGCACTCATCCCAAGTGAATTCCTCCGTGAGTAGGTACCCGGACAGCCACCAATTGGAGCAAGATGTAAATGTTTCCAGCCCTCCAGAAGGTTCCCATGTGGCCCTCCCGGTCAATATCCAGCCCCCACCTGGACTTAACCATTGTCCTGAATTCCATCACC